AATAGTTTGGCCTCTGGTGCTCCGTATACCCACTGTCGCCGCGAACATTTCCCCATATGGGGCGTCTCCAAGTGCAACCAGCTTGCATCGGTCATTTTTGGCTCAACCTAGATTGTTCATTGTAGACTCTGGAAAAGAATAATAATGTGATTCAAAATATACCTAGTAGTCTATATATCCTACGACTTTGGGATTCTGGGCCATGACTTTTTCTCATTTTCCGCTACCAAAAACTGAATGAACGAATGCAGAAGTGAAATTACCATCTTCGTCAAGGCTTTCTTCTGACTTTGCCCACAGATCCAGTATCATCTGCTGGCGGGCAGCAGAGCGCGGTTTGATTTCACATCTAACACGCTGTATTAGTTTAGGTCAACAATTTGAAACACATAAAACTGACTCGAAATCCTCGGGTCTCACAATCAGACCTGGCGTCACAGCATCGCGATTGATGGGCACTGAGGAACCATCCGGATTTTTCGCAGGTGTGATTGTAAAGCCCCACAATATACGGGATATCGCGAGAAATAAATTTCTTTCGGCGACATGAAATCCAGGGCACACTCTTCTTCCTGCCCCAAAGGTAAAGTGAAGTCGCTTCTCCGAGTCCTGGTTGATCGCATTATTCTCTATCAGAGTTTCCTCGCCAGTCTGTCGCATTGGGTCAAAGTCTCTTGTCTCCATAACTCGCTCGTGATTCAGCGTCCAGACCTTTTTGGGATTAATTTGCCAGCAACCACTGGTGCAATTGATGGGCTCCTGAACTCACATTCATCATGACCATGGAACCTTTGGGTATGGTCATGCCATTGTAAACGTCATCTTCCTTGACCGAGTGAGGAACGGCAGCACTCAGCGGACTCGGTGCCCCTGTGCAATAATCAGTCCTGGTTCTTGTAGTGTAGGCTTGAATCAAAACTCACATCTCAAGGTCTCTTCCACCACACCACGCACATAGGGCAAAACGGGACGGTCTTTCCATTCTGGAATCCGACTATCACCAATTATAGCATCGATTTCCCGTTGGGCTTTGGCCTGAGCCTCTGAAAATAACACCATGGCCTACTTTCAGATGAGCGCATTTCCCCTGTAGTTTGGTCACAGACCTACCTTGATGAAGCCAAGAATTGTGTTGGCAGACGTATCCCTGAGTACTGATTTTAGCTTGAAGGCTCAGCCGCAGAACCAGGAAGGAACAAGTGCTAACATTGCTGCCCCAAAACCATGAGCCGCATTATGGGCTATTTGTCGATCGTCGAGTCTATCTGCATCCTTGTCCTGCAGCATATCCCCAATAAAACCTGTAACAAAGTTTAGCACTACTGATTATGTTCACTGCGTGTGCTGACGAACTGGGACAAGCATTTCCAGACTCTATTCTTTCCTTGGCACGATTCAAAAGTTGCATAAAGACACGATCCTCCAGCTTCTGTAGATTGTGAAGCCTTTCTACACTTGGCAGTAGCCAGTAAGGTAGGAATCGATATATAGGACGTAGGAATGGGTAAAAGTCCACCAGTTGGAAATTTGCAGCCTCTGACGTAACATCCATCCACTGCTATGGTCAGTTGAAGTACTCGGATCAGGAGCCTTGTGGAGTGAATACTTCAAGTAAATCTTTCACGTAGCCGGTATTGGTCTCTGGAGTCCTCCAACCGTAGAGCAACGCTGTAGAAATGCTCGCTGTGTACCGCTGCACATGCTGCACCCAGCTCTCGGGTCGAATGGCGAGATCTTTGATGAGCTGGAGGCTATCAAATTCCTGGTATGGGACATATCTATCTGCTGATTTGACGTTCAAACGGATGTGATACATCTTTCTTTGTCGCCGCCAGACATCATCGTTGCTGCAAATGTAAATCAGTTCCACATTCTTCATCATAGTGGTCGAGGGAATGCCGACTCTCGAAAAGCAATATTCAGATTATCGCCAAAGCTCCGGATATACAAGTCAGGGCGACAAGAGTAGTTACTGCTCCTCTTTTCGATGAGGTCTTTGACCACCACAGGATCATTCAACAGGAACAAGTTCTGCCCTCCGAGTTTCATGGTGACTATCGGACCGTCTGCGCATTCCATTAGTTCTGAACTGCAGTTTTATAGTGAAATTCGCTACATTTCTGTGCCAATTTTTGAAACTCGATGTGAAAGTTCTTGGTTGGCATTTGATGAAGATTGCCTAGTACGGGCAAGGTTGGGGGCCCTGGAGAATTTCGTTAGCCTCTTGATATTACCTTATAGCGCGAGGTAGGATTTTTAACCAACCTGGAGGAAACCTCTTCGGTCTGCTGCCATACTGCAAGACTTTGTTTGCGAGGAAAAGCAAGCATAATGCTGCGAAAGAGTAATAATAGAGGTACGAGTGTTCTTCCATAGCAATGATGGGTTATGATAGTTCTTGCAACCTAATCCATGTACACAATCCAATAAGAAACTTGAATAATCAACCTTTGAGCTCAAAAGTGTTAACCTTAATTTCCGGCGATACAAGCAGAAGTTTCTTAAGGTCAAGGACATGGGGAGGAGGAGAGGACCCGACCTCCGCGGCGTCGTGTTATACTAATCCCGTAGTAATCACGTCGCATATATGGAAGCAAAGGAAATCCCGGAGCTTTTTAACGCCGTCACGGGCTTTGTTTTAGCAATCACAGCTTCTTCATTAATTAGAGCTGAAGGATAAATCTGGTTTTAGAGCGTGTGTAAACAACTTTACGCTTGAATCACCCTGAGTTTAGGTGCTGAGTGGGGTTATATTCAGAGGGTATCTGCTCTAAGGGTTAGTTTACCACGCGAAAAGCGCCTTAAAGTAATTGATGTATAACTAATTAGATTATCTATAGTCATTAAGGTGAAAATCAACTAATTCACACTCTATTCCTTTGTCATCTAATGGTTGGCCTGTTGGATTATTGATTTCCGAGCGCACTCTCCACTCGCTGATTCATCGCTGGTCTGACAAACGGCAGCTGGTGGCGGTTGGCATCTCAACATATTCCGGGAGTTGTTTCCCAGAACCCCGAATATTATATCAGCCCCGCAAAGTTCTTTCTTTAGGGCCAATAAATGGTTGTTTCTCCTGCAAATGGTTGTTTTTGTAACGTCGCTGTGTAAACACTATATTTCTACGCCATGTCTTGGAAGTTCCCAATTGAAAGCAAGATCATTGTGGTCACAGGCGGTGGATCTGGTGAGAATAAGGCCCTACGCATATCGCTCCAACCACTAATCTCAAGTGTTTATCTTAACAGGCATTGGGCTTTCATATGCTCTTCTGGCACAATCAAAAGGAGCAAAGGCCGTCATTGTAGCTGATATCACCCTTACGGAGGATGCAAAGCTCGCGATCAAGGATCACACTGCAATTGAATTCGTTCATTGTGATGTTACCAAATGGCCCGATCTTCAAAACCTAATCAATGTGTCAATCAACAAGTTCGGCGACGTTCCAGACGTTTTTGTTGCGTCAGCAGGCGTCTTTGAACCGGTAAGGATATTATACCACAAGCGAGTCAATGTCTCCCCGAGGAGCGGAGACAGAATCCCAATCACTTGGCTCACACGAGTACATAGCCCTACTCAAACTTCTGGGAGGACCCTGAGCCCCTGGAGAGCAATGGCTACAAACATATTGACATCAATGTCAACCATCCAGTAGGTGTCCCCACCTGTCTACCATTGTAGCACCAAAATCATACTAAGTGTGCCGATCAAGATCAAGCTCACAAGGCTTGCCATTCGCGCCTTTCTGGGCAGAAATAAGCAAGGCGTAGTAGCCATTGTCGGATCCATTGCGGGATATAGCAAACAATATGCAGGGCCTATCTACAGTGCCACAAAGCACGCCGTTGTAGGCTTCACCAGGAGCCTCGGATCCGCGCAAGAGCTGCAGGGTGTCAAAGTAGTGTGCATATGTCCAGGGTTTGTGCCACCTTCCATCTTGAAAAGCCCGAACTTGTTCGCATGAATAACAGTTTCCCAACAGGATTGTGACAACTCCCATCTGGACAACTGGCACCCCGGGATCCGGTGAGCGGTTCGGTGTGGACTCTTCCGTTGCCATTACATCTGAAGAGGTCGCCAATGCGATAAGTGGCGCGGTAGAATCTGCTGATTATCCTGGCGGGACCATTTTAGAAGTTTCTCAGGCCGGGAGAAGAATCATTCCGGAGTGGAATATTGCCCCTCCTGGCTTGATCGATGGGAAGATGGGAAAGGGAACAACTGTCCCGCCCGAGGCAATTGCCAAGGCGCTAGGACCAATCCTGGCTCGCACTGCAGCTGAGAAAGGTCAACCAAATTGAGGGGCCAGTACTAATGTGTCAGTGTTACCTACGACCGTGAATTGATACCCGGACTCGTTCGGGCCGGCCGGAACAATCTGCATTCGTCCTCATCAGAACCCATGCATGGCATATCTGCAGTATGCACATTCTAAATTGCTTGAGATGCATATACGTTGAATCAAATTAAAGGTTATGAATACTGTATTGCTCATCAGACGAGTGAAACTATGCGTACGTGGTAGTGCAAGCAACATTCTAAGCTGATCTGGTTGATTAATGTGTCGATCATGGCATTCCCAAACTCATACTCGGACATCGATAGCAATTCCAAGCTTCCAAATGACACTGTTCTCATCATAGGCGCTGGACCAGTTGGATTAATGACAGCGTCGGTATTGGCATTCTACAAAGTTAAATCAGTTATTTTGGAAAGAAGCTCTGAACCTACGAGGTAGACCAAATTAGACCACAAGGGTTCCATAGGATATGCAAAGCTCACACACGACAGATGGCCAAAAATGGACTTGACCAATGCTCGATCAATGGAGCTGTTGCAAAAGATTGGGCTTGCAGACGGCCTACGTGGTCGCGGTGAGTTCGTCAAGCGGTAATTCCTCTACTTGTTGCAAGCATACTAATGACACCCAATATCGATGTAGGCGTGCCTAGCAGCATCCCCTATAATGTGTTGATGTCTACTGGTCTTAGCCAGGACGCCGCATTTGCCCAATGGAACCACTTGTCAGTTGATGAATACAGGGAAAGGATTAGAACCCAGAATGACGGAACCCAGCCTCTAGAACCTTATCAGAGAGTGTCGCAGCACATCTTCGAGGCTTGGATGCGAGACCTGTGCCAAGAAAATCCGCTTATCGACGTTCGAAATGAGCACAAACTCGAATCAATCAGCGAGACTGAAATCGGCGTGACAGCCGAGGTTGTAACCACCAAGAATGGCGAGTCTTACACAATTCAAGCTGGTTACTCCGTGGCATGTGACGGAGCATCCAGTAAGAGTCGCAAGAGTTTGGACATTGGCCTTGAAGGCGGTCCACTGTAAGTGACCGTGTGTCTCTATCTGAATCGAACCTGCTGATTGATATTTCGCAACGAAGACCAAGTTCATTCCTCCTGGTTCATTTCGAGTCTAATGATCTCGAGCGGCTACATAAACAAGGCCGGTTCTGGCATCTTTTCGTCTTCAATCAAGGCGCATTCGGTGGTGCCGTCATCTCTCAGGATGAGCAGGTAAGTGTCATAGATGCCCGTCAAAAAAAGCAATCATGGACTATCAGCGCTAACGCGCGATATACTCAGAATACATTCACCGTACACTACCCCTTGAGCTCCAATGCGGATGAGCCCTCAATCAGCTCAGAGGATGCGGTGTATAGTGTGCTTGGTGGAGCGCACGGACCATTCCACGTCAAGATCGACAAGATCCTCGTGCGATCAACCTATGTGCCTAGCACTGCTGTAGCAAAAGCCTTTTCAGGTCCTCAAACGCGATGTTTCCTCGCAGGAGACGCTGCACATCAAAACATACCCACAGGCGGCTACGGCATGAATACTGGCCTCGGAGATGCTTTCGACATTGCCTGGAAGCTTGCTGCAGTCGTCAATGGGTGGGGAGGCCAAGGCTTACTCAAGTCATACGAGCAGGAGCGGCGACCTGTGGCAATTCGAAACGTTGAGCGCGCAGCTTTTCACATGTCGGCTCATCTCACCGCCGTAGGGCTGCTGGGAAGCGACGTCCTAGAAGTCAATAGCTCAACGGAGCGGGGCGTAGAGATGAAGAATACCCTTCAAAACCATTATCATACCTTTGACGGGGAAAACACTGATCTTGGCATAGAGATGGGATATCGTTACGAGTCTCAAATCTGTGTTACTGATAACACTGAGTCCCAGCCAGAATGGGATCCTCATTGCTATCTACCCACCACATGGCCGGGAAGTCGAGCGCCACACGTGTACCTGAACAGTGGCGAGTCAATATTTGATCTGTTCGGGCCGGAATTCTCATTGGTTGAGTTCAAGAATGACAAAGATGGTGAAAGTGATAGTGTAGCCGTGGTCAAAGCAGCCAAAAGACTTGGAATGCCGTTGACCCATGTTGTATTGATTGGAGAGGAAACGGCTGCTAGTGTATGGCAGAGAAAGTTTGTCTTGGTTAGGCCAGATGGACATGTGGCTTGGAGAGGAAAAAGCGTTAAGGATGAAAGACAAGCAGACCTCATCCTGAGGACGGTTGTTGGTCATGATGATTGATAGTCTCCCGTGTTGTGAAATGAGTCAATCGATCACAACAAGGGAATTGAAAATCGGAAGCCTGTTTCCTATTTCCGTTTATATGGGCGTTGGAGGATGAGGTTCTGAACAAAAAGAAAACACCATTTGTACTCATTTCAGTTTTTACAAACCATTTTCAAATCGGCTTATTCATTCTAATGCGAACACGTCAAAGTTTGAAAGCAGAATTTGCTTTATGATTTCTTCCCCACGCTAATCGTTTTGAGAAAATTGCACACTTTCAACTGCGTGTTCTCTTGGTCTTCCGATCCAAAGCCACACCCTTCATCTTGGCTTCCATCCAGTCTCTTTCGACAATCTCGGCATGTCTTTTGCTCCTAGGCTCTAGAACAGCTCCAAATCTAGCTGGGACATTCAGAAACCCTGGTTCTGTTACCATCAAAGGCTCTATCTCAACGCCGTTCTCGTCTCTGGCGCGCTTTATGTTGAAAGCCCAAAGTGTACGTGCCATGTTGATAAAGAGGGAATTTTGTGCTAGATGCATGCCGCTGCAGATCCTCCGCCCGGCGCCGTATGCAAAATGATCACGGAGATTCCCGTCAGACAGATTCACGGCCTCGGCACCTGTGTGAGGATCAGAAAGAAATCGGGTTGGGTCAAAGATATCGGGATTCTCCCATCTGTTGTCGTCATAGTGGATTGCCCTAGACATGTGAGTTTGCTTCTGACACCCGAAATAAAAAAAGAAACGTGACACTCACCACCAGTTTAGCATAACGACGCTACCTTTGGGAATGAAATAGCCATTGTACCAATCATCCTCTGTTGAAGCGTGGCTCATTCCAGGCTTGGTGATTGGCCAGAAGCGCAGAGTTTCTTTTACCATTGCTCGGATATAGGGCAAGTTGTCTTCATCCGAAAAAGTAGGCATTCTATCGGAGCCCACCACGCGGTCTAGCTCCTCTTGGGCAGCAGCAACAACGTTGGGATATATTTGGCAAACCAGGATCCATGCATTGATCACGGTCGAAGTCGACTCGCTTCCAGCCTCGACTAGTCCTCCTGCTGCGTAGGCGGCCTGCTCCTCGCTTATGCCACTCTTCTCCAGGTCTCCCTGGTAGAAGTCGCGAATGAAGCAATCTGGAGCACTACCATCGTGGATCTGTCGTACAAGATCTCGGTAGAATTGTAGATAGATTTCTCTATCATATGTGAACCACTCACGGCCGATTCTCCACCAGTCCTGGACAAGAAATGATGGCAAGCTTGCAAGTGGGGGAAACGCATCAACCAGCCATTTGCCAGGCTCGGACATTAATGTGAAATGCTCTAGGACTTCGTAGATCTTCTTGATATAAGGATCATTCCAATCCTTAACGCGGTGCCCGTAAGTGACAGTCATGATGACACTAGCCGAGTACCGACGATTTATGTCGTAGAATGCCGAGCTATTTTCTGCATGGAGAAACTCATACAGTACTTGCTTTGATTCAAAATCTTGCACTGGCTTATACGTGGCAGAAACGCTGGAATTGAGTGCGGTATGGCTGAGCTTGCGCAACGTTCTCCAATGCTCATTATATGGCATGAAGATTTCTCGATTGCCATTTGACGTCGCCTCGAACGCCATGGGCATCCTCGGACGAGATGAGTATTTCGACCCTCGCTTGTCCATGAGCTCCTTGGCGACGCTGCCGGAGTTGACCCAAATCCAGTCTACGCCGCCCATCTTTGTGTAGACAATTGGGCCATACTTCTTGGCCCAACCTCGTGTAATTCGGGGTATGTCATCCGGTTTGGCTAGTGAGGGCAGGTTCCCGATGAGAGGGTATCCCCTCGGCCCTGGCGGTAGGAGCCTCCGACGTTTGTCATAGGTGAGAACAAAGTATGCAGAAATGAGAAACTAGCAATCAGTCAATTCTCCTCTTTAATTAAAAAGAGCCATTTGACTCACGGTAAGAAGAATGGGAACTGAAGCTACCCTGGAAACGATTACCAAGATACCTTCACTTATTGAGCTCAACAACTTCCCCATCGATGCATAAATGATCGAGAAACTGATTTGAAGTGAGATGTGCTATCGTCGCGGGTTTAGGAGTCCGATGTCTGAGCTATCGGTTCTTTGACAGGTGATTGCCAGTCGCTAACATTTCACGGCCAGTCTACAGAGATGAGCAGTTGGTATTGAACTTGATTTGAAATAATCTACACCAATCGCATAGCTTGCCCGTTGAGTATGCCCAATGTTCAAATTCCGCAGCTTAGTACCTATTCAGAAGGTCGGGCCCACTACGTCTTCGGCAGATCCCGTGGTGAGTTCCGCGGAAGTGATACTCCGGAGACGGAGGCCTACATGACCCGAAACGACTCTTGAGCTTCAGGGCAGGTTGTGTAGTTGATTATCCAGAAAGCAATTCATCTGAATGCGCTCAGTATGACTTAGTTTCCTATAACGGAAAACAGTGCAACAAATCTGATTTGCAGCTTGGAGGTTGTATAAAGTCTCAGCCATCACTTGTTTACAGTTAGAGACTCAATCCAGAGAAAGGCTGTCGCGTTACCCATATTATTCTGTCGATTTAATTGTCCTAAACGCATTCCGTACATATTGATTCGCCATGTTTGTCCCCAACACCACAAGCCGGCCTCCTGTGGATATGGCCATGCCACAGACTGAACAACTGTACTTCACAATTGCTACTCAACTTCCATTCATCATCTTCTTTTCAATGGGTATACGCCAGCTTGCAGTAAAAAGCGACCCGAAACCATTACTCTTTGGTATCGGAGGGTGTCTGGCATCAGCCTTTGAGCCCGTGGTCGACGTGCTTGGCTTCTGCTACTTTCCACGTGCCGGAAACTGGATTGCTTTTGAGACTTTTGGCAGACCTATTCCAATATTTGTGCCCGCCACATATGGCTGGTTCGTTGGAGGTATGGGCTACTGGTTCTGGAGTGCCTTTCAGAATCCAAATACTACCGCCAAGGATGTTCCAGTCTTGTGGTTCAAGGCCTTCATTATCAATTTGATTCTTGAATATCCACCTCTATACTTTGGCATATACACGTACTACGGCTATCAGCCATTGGTTGTTGGAGGCTTCCCACTCTGGTTCCCTGCCATTAACGCGACCACACCAATGGTGGCCGGAACCATCCTCAACTTGATCACGCCACACCTGCAGGGCTGGCAAAATCTGGCCATCATCACCACAACTGCCACATCTTATGGCATTGGAAATGCAGCGTTTGGAGCTCCTGTGTGGATGGCCTTGAGCATAGACAAGGGTTATCATGTGACATATCCTGCTGTTGCCATTTCAGCTCTCCTTTTGTGCATGGGCTTGTGGATCATGTCTCTACAGTTTACTATACATGACGGTATCAAGCTTGACACAGGTGGTTCTAGGCAGACTAAAAGGTATTAGGGCCTGTGAGCTGAGTATTGGAGCGGCTGGTGGAAACAGAACCACTTGTTTCTGATTAAGATGTGAAGAATAATGATATGTGGGAATGCGATAAGGGAAATTGTTTTTTTATAACTTATAGCTGCAGGATCCTTGTACGCGACAAAAAATCCATCATCTCTTGTTCAGAAATGACAGAAATGATTAGATATTTAATGATCTTTGCTCCATTTCATGCTTAGTACGACAACAGTGTATACGATATTGTATGCCATTCTCGCTCGGAGACAAATATCCATCAATCCGGTAGAATATGTGTGTGAGGATATATCAATCAGATACAAAACATTTATTGAATCGATTGAATGCGCGTCTTTGTCTGTATTCCGTGACACAAGGTTCATCATCTATTGTCCAGCTTTCAGTTATTGGCCGTCTTTTTCTCCTTTCTTCTTGAATTCAACAGACTCTGTGGCCCCTTGCTTTCCCGTAAAGTCGGCAATTTTCGTTGCCATGTCGACTGGAAACGAGTAATGCTCATGGACGAATTTCCAAGTCCCATCAATCTTGCGGACCAGAGAAGTGGAGCGGAATGAAAAGTCGTATGGCGATCCGTCGGCTGCAGTCCCATCAACACGTTGGACGGCCATGATGTAGCCAAAATCTTTGGTGACTGCGACAATCTCGACCTCTTTAAATTGCTGATTTGTTTTTCCCAGGTATGGGGTGATGTGGTCGTAGTGCGGCTCTAGGTTGGGTCGCGATACCGTGCCCATGAGGTCAAAGATGGAGTAATCCTGTAATTCAAAGAACTGCTTTCCTGCGGCAGCATCTGTATGGCTCACGTGATTTAGGAAGTTGCCGAAGCCGTGATAAAAGTTTAGAATCTCATCTTCAGTTGACTTGAGTGACTGATCATGGAACTGGCCTATGTGTCAGTTGAGAGGAAATATTAAAGTTGTGGAACCATCATCACTACTTACTCGGCTAGGCGGATTGCTCAGATCTTTATGAAGAGCATCTATGGTTGTGAAATCGGTCTGTACGTGAGAGTGAGCAAGTTAGTCTGTCGTTTTGACTGAAATACTTACTTCTTTCTTCCACTCAGCCATGGTATTAATTGGATTCGCGATAAAAAGAACAGTCATGAAAAATATTTGTCAAAATCAAGACTTCCAAGATTCTAGAGATATTTTTGCGATATTAGGGACGTTCAAATAGTTGATCCGGCCAGGGTTTCAATCCGGACCACGGATGCTCGTGGACCGCATGTTCTCCACTCAGAACAGGACTTGCGATTAGCCCACAAGTCACATCTGGATGGCCTTGTGAGACTGTGCACTTTATCTCGACCCCTTCTCAGATGAAAGGTTTTACTTGACTCATATACGCGCATTTATCACATACCATTCAGGAAAAATCAAAACGATATTCAGACCAGTCTGAATTAAAATTTGTCATGTACTTTCGTTGAGCATCGCTGTACATATTCTTGGCTGTTCATGGATGAGTTGTTCCTGCACTGATGCTTTTAAAGAAATCCTTGGGCATGAGATTGACCATTACTTGTTTATCAGTCTTTAGATAACCGAGATTAGTTTTGACGTTTGCCAATGACTTGAGACTCAATTCATCAAGATATCATAATTATCCCTAACATCCCTCGGTGGAGGCGAAGGTATTGACTCAATACTCCTCGGTCCGATATTCGCCCTCATCTTGATAGAGGCTTCGCTCTCCCCGTTCTTGAGTCTGCGAATGACATCTTCGGGGTCAAAATCAACTCCATAGGGGTTTTCAGCGTACTCAGGGGACGACATCATGGCGGTAGCAGCCTCGACAGTGTCGAAGTTGTCCACTTGCGTCTCCAGCTGGTTGCCGTCCGGATCTTGATAGTAGATGCTGGTCGTTGGTCCATGGTTGACGCACCAAATGGGAGAAATCCCTCTGGCCAGACGCTGTTGGTATGCAGTGAGAAGGTCGTGGATGCTGCCAAATTGAAAAGCAATGTGCTCTAGACCCGCCGATGTGGGAACCTTTTCCGAAGTTCCAGGAACGTACCCGATGGCGAGTCGATGATGCTCCTCGTCATAGGTCAGAAAAGAGAGAAAATCATTTTCAAAAGTAGCATGAGCTCCAAGAAATGCTTTGTAGAATGCGATCATGGGCTTGAAATTTGAAGTCCGCAGTACAACATGAGCAAGGCTTTTTGGCGCTAGAACTGGACCCGACAATACATTGTCATTATCCATGATGTAGTAGTGATATCTTGATGCAATCGCAAACGAATCAAGCGCACTAGCGACACTACTTTCGGTGATTTTTGAATACCAGTAAGGCTCAGAGTGGAGGCTCGGCAATTGAGATCTTTTGGTTCGGGCAATCATGTTGTCATAGTTGGTTGGCGTAGTACGGGATTGCGGCTCCGGAGTGGAGGGCCCGCTCGTTGGAGTTCCGGAAAACATTGCTCCGGGTCCCGGATGCTCCACAGGACAACCCCTGCTGCGGCACAACTCTCTATTTTTGACGAGTTTAAGGTTTCGGGTACCATAGTGTTCCAGGAATAATTTTATGGATTATCAAAGAAACAAAATAAATTGGAGGATTGTGGAGAATGGTACACGCTTCGATGGATGGTAAAGCTCATGCATGCATCAAGAACTGTGACCGATCGACACCATGCAGCACGAAGTGACTGTGTAGTGTCGCAGGATAGAGAAAGGATTACTAAGTCTATTGTCTATTACTTTGTACGGAACCCATCAGACTTTCGGTTCAAAAGCCACCCAGTACGCTCCCTGCGTCAATCAAACCTTGCTTTGATGCCGTAATTTGAGGCCTCACACTTTCACTTGTCACTTGTGTTCCCTGAGCCCGGCCCCAGGAATCGCGGCGCCTCACCTACTTCTAATTCACGTTCCCGCACCTCGCTTGAACTATTGGGTGACAGCGGCGTGTTGTAAAATGGGACATTTGTGGGCAAATGAGCGGCCACATCCGGGGAGTATCGACCGTCCGGCTTGAGACTCATTCGTTCCATTCCTTGTGTCATGCTTGCAAGATGAATCCGTTGAAGTCCAGGCTGACGCCATGAGTCATTGTGGCCGGGGACTTGCGTGTGAGTAGGGACTCCAAGGTAATTGCCCAATATATTTTGATGAGTGAAATCATGCGGCACATTTTGGTTGACGGGCTGGTAGAAGTGTCTTGGTAAAGGAGTAGCAGTCTCTGCAGATGATGCACCCATGGTGGGTGGCACGCCGGGGAATGGTGGAACGAATGAATACTGGAAAACGGGAGAAGGATAGCTACTGAACCGGGCCTGGTACTGCTTCTCAGGATACGAACCCGTCTCGGGATGACCAGGAGGAGCGAATTGCGGTACATGTAGGTGTTCTGGTACATGATATTCGGTTGCAGCGTTCCCGAACGGCCGTTGATAGTCATTAGTAAACGGTGCCTGGTACACTTGAAAATAGCTTCGATAGTCTGTCTGAGCACTTGGATTCGAGTATACATGACTGACGTCATAGGCTGGATTTAGAGGGTGTCCAAGACTATGGTCACCCAAATTTAGAGATGACGAGTGCCTTGAGCGATGATTCGTTTCATCAGCATTTGGTGACGGTGACACTTTATCGTTCAAATCCTTCTGAATCTGACTTCTGTTAGCCGAGGACTTCATCGTGCGTGAGAATCCACTACCTACTGTTGCATCGAATGTTTTATTCCGGGGCTCTGCCTGGGTGAGTTTCGGGCTGGGCGTCAGAGCTCGCAGTATCATCCCTCTGATGCTCTTCAGGAGGACACCCTTCTCGAGTTTTGCTATGCCAGAGTGATTGGCCTCGACGTTTACTACCGTTTCTTTGGGCAAATCTTGTTTGGCAGAGTATGTCTCGACCATCATGACCTCTGGACCAGAGCGAGTCCACTGTTGTTTATGTTGCTGTAGATGTCGTCAATATCATGAGGATATCTTCTTGGGCGAAAAGAACAAAAATTCAAACTTACATCGAAAGCTACTGTTTTGGTCTTCAAAGCTTCAAAGCAGGTCAGTATCTCAATATCCTGGGCTATCGACCTGAATTCCTCGTTGAGATCATTCAGTGTCATGGAGCCTGAAGCTAGCTCTTCAACAAGCTGTAGTGGTTCATGCCCTACAAGTGTTCGCAATGCATCAACATTCATACCTTGATGTGGTGCAGCGAGGAACACGATTGCCCGTACTGGCAGGCGGGAAATGTCACTGTTTATTCGAATATTAGGGAGACTCTCCTGGAAGTAAAGAATATATTGGCCTTACGGATTGCGATGGTTCCTGGCAATAGTCATAATCTGGATATTTGGTAAGAATTTAGATCAAGAGTCTTCATAGTCTAACTCTCGTACCTTTTTAATCAACAGGCCGCCTAGACTGTGCCCGATAAATATGATGGGACTATGTGATAGTTAGCGAGCCTGCGATGGATGGAACGAGACTCTGAGCGCTACCGTTGTTCGCACTAGGCGTGTTAGCTAAAGTGTGCTTCACAGCAATCTCAAGTTTCGGGGGCATTTACATTTGTTCCACGACGCATGTTTATCAAGCCATCAATGAATGAATTGCTCAGATCGGATATCATGGTTACTGAACCCTTATTGATGGTAATCCGTGTGTCGTATCCATACGTTAGGATGCGCGCATTATTTACAAGGTTTGGAAGATAGTCTCGAAGCCACATTCGCTGTTCCGAATGAGCCCACGATCCAAAGGCATTGCCTGCAAGCCCAGTGATGGCAATGATACTGCACTTTGGGTTTTAGTCATGCACTACCAAACAATGAGGCTGAATACGTACTCTGCCGTTATTGGAGTGTCCTCTGGGGGGCAATATAATGGTGTGAAACCCCAGAAGTCTCTGTCGACTTCCATCTCTTTGGGAGCATAAGAGTCAAAGTTTGGCCCAACTTGTGGCCGATCCGCATGTGGTCGAAACAGTACTGTCGCCGTCATCTGGTCTGCACCCTCCGCATCCGGGCAAATGGATCCGACCGTGATGCGCAAACGATCCTGCTCCGAGAAATATCTTTCCAGTTCTCTCTTGCTCGTGTCCGGTGGAATCTCTGTGACTCTCCACGTAAATGCCTTTGGTGGGTGTGTTGACGCCATTTCGAACGATACTGATATGCTGTAAGCTATAGAGCCGACTTGATTAGGAATCGTGGTTCTTGATTTCTGTAAGTTCTGAATCAGTATTTTGCTGTTAACAAGCTTCGCGAGACTTAGAAGTTGAAAAATTTTTCAAAAAGAAATAGTTCTGATGGAGAACTCTGTACTGGTGAAGGAGGGTGTCGGCTACTGAGGACATGGGTCAAACCCTTTCTTACCTAGTGATATGATTATTATTAATGACCGGGCCCTACTGTTTCGTGCATTTCAACTGCGGCTGAGATGCAGATCCAGGTTGGCACATTTTGACAGCCACGGGGTGCTCGTGAAACTGCACTTTCGCCAGCTCGTTCTACACGTCCAAGTCAAAGTCTCCTCTGTCTACACAGGTCAATGTTGTCCACGTTGGAGGAAAGTACCATATTCCCAATACATTCTCTCAGATGTGACCACGACGCATGTCACTTCTGCGCACGAACTCGTGTCTTTGGCTGCTCTACCCCTCTCCAATTCCGACTTACTGCATTGGTTAGCGCCAGCCTTGTCTGCAAACTCAACATAATATTTCCGCCCCACGAATCTTACACACCATCATTTTGAGGCAGCTGAAAAGCGGCCTTCCAAATAAAACCCTCTCCAATGCAAGTAAGCTACAAAAGGAAAATTGAGCGGTTGACGGAGATTAGCGTATTATGTTACAGTGGTGAGATCAATAATGGTGGCTCCTGCACAGAGGGGTTTCCCCGGCACTCTCCAGCAGTTATCTACATTCCTCAAATCGCAATAGCCTTTAAATGCTCAGCGCCAACCTGCATTCATGAAAAATGACACCAAAATAAAAGACAAGCAAGTCATCGAGGTTTCTCTTTCAAGGACAAGATCCATGTAATTGTTTCTAAAATTTGTCATTAGTCATGTCGTCACATAATATGGCAAGATACTTGCATGTGAGAATGCATTGATTACAACTGGCAATGAAAAACACCATATCGTGGCGCAGTGAGCAAACCTCGGATGTTGCAAAACCAAAAATTGGCGAGCAACAACGTTGGTCAATTATACAAAGTCTGATTGTGCGAAGTGCGGGCATGGCTAGTAATATACATGGAGGCTTTAGACAGAAAAGGTAATACACACTTATTTGTACGTTGAATGTGCGTTGTGGGTGGCGCCAAACTTGAAAATGATCCTCATCTGTGATTCACATACCCAAATACCTATCTGTTTCCAGGAGCGGGGCGCAATTGACACTTTTACGCAGGCCTGGTACGGGCGCTGCAGTGTTGAGGCCATGAGGTGCACAGCCGAAAGCGGGGATAATGGGTATAAAAAGAAACACATAGCGGGGCTAGTGAAGATGTTGATTCTGGGACTCTAATCGGCCTCACTGAACCGACGCACAACTGCAATTCATAACAGTTTGATAAGTGAACAATGATGGAAAGGAAAACATGAACTTCAAAAGTCTCCGAAGCTGACAAAGCAATAAAATCATACTGTTGCTGTTATACGTACCCATAACCACTATTAGGCTAGTTCCTAGTGTGGAGCTTCACATTTTGTTCAGCTAGTGCAGTGGTATGGTGCGATAATTGCATAGTGTTGATCAAGGTGGTGCTTTCCTATTAGAGTTTAAACTGGTCTGATATAGGTGTTAATTGTATAATATATTAATCTATATTCTGCGCCTTTTAGTTTTAATAAGGTATACGCTTATTTAGGGTGGCCCCGGCTAATCCCCAGGAGGTCCCGTATATTTACCTAAATATTATAATATTAATCCGTATGCTTAAGCATACCCTAATATATAGGAACTATAATTTATTATCTAATACACCCCTTTAAATCCACGATTTATCGTAAATTTAGCTATATTTAAATTAAAATTACTAATTAGCAAAATATAGCTTTTTTTAAAGCTATTCGTTTTAATTACGATAAATAATATTAAATTTTATTTATTATAAAAAATTTTGTTATTTGCCTATTAATAAGCTTTTCGTTAATTTATTTATTATTATTTTATTTAAAGGTTTATAAATAATTTTAATTTTTCCTTTTTAGGCTTTTTATTATAATTAATAATTATAAATATTTATATAACGGAGCTTTATTTTTAATAACGCGATTTTGGCGTTAATTAAATTAATAATTTATTTATTATTATATTTAATAATAATAATATTATTATTTAGTTATATCGATAATTTTTTTAATAATTAGCTAATAAATAATATTTTTTTAATAGCTTACGCTAAAACAAATAATTTAGCTTTTATAATAAAAATAATAATTATATTTTATTTATTTAATCGC